ACTTAGCGCGGCGGCGAGCGGGGAGTTGGAGGGCTCGCGCTATGGGTCGCGCAGGCGGCGGCTCCCATGAAAAGGAGTCTGGCATCCTGGGCCCCGCGCAGAAACCCGGAGCGCCCCCGACAGGCGGGGCTGCGACTCACCGCCAGGTGCAGGCCAGGCGCGGGGTGCGATGACTTAACCCGTGCTGGGTTTGGTGGTGGCTGCGAGGGCAAGTAGGGGCATTGCCCATTTTGGCCAAGGGTCACACAGCATTTACATCACAATTGGGCCAGAGTTTTAAAATGTCTGACCCTCTCCCTCCCCACTACCCGCGGCTGCTGTGTCCAGACGGAGAATGTTCTAGCGCTGGGGGCGGCTGTGGATGAAGTCCTTGGGGGGAAAAGGAGCGGGCCAAGGGCGATGGTGGAGTAGAGCTGCCTCGCAGAGGCAGCATGAGCTGAGAGGGTGATAGGAAGGAGGTGCTAGACAGCATGGAGGACTTTCTGCTCTCCAATGGGTACCAGCTGGGCAAGACCATTGGGGAAGGGACCTACTCAAAAGTCAAAGAAGCAGTTTCCAAAAAACACCAAAGAAAAGTGGCAATTAAAATTATAGACAAGATGGGAGGGCCAGAAGGTGAGCTGGGGCCCCTTTGGAGGAAGGGAGGGCTGGCTGAGGTGGGTGGGTGCTTCCTCGAGTCAGAATGATCATTCCCTCCTACCCTTTAGTCTGGAACCAAGGAGAGCAGGAGACTGTGGCTCTGGGGCAGGTCAGTGGGGAACAGAGGGATGCTGGGAGTGAGGAAAATCACATCCTCCAAAGTCCAAATTAAAGTGGCAGGAGGTGAAGGATCCCCAGAAGCAGACCCCAAGCTCACCAGGCCTTTCCTATTCCAGGAGGGGAAGAGAGATGGGCTAGGCCATGGCCAGAGCTAGCAGAGGGCAGGACCTGGTGCTAAGGCAGGTAGAGATGGGAAAAAGATAGGGTTCTTGGAAAGAACTGTGGGTCAGAGGCAGAGGTGAGAGGAGCTGGCTCACTGTGTTGTGGGCAAATCAGGCCTCATAACTGGAATTCAATAGCTTTGTCTAAAACTCCCCAAAGCACTTTGATATCCATGGTCTCACAGGCTGCTCACAACACTTCCTGAAGCTGACAGAAAGTAGTTCCTTTGAATAATATATTAACTACAATAACAATAGAAGTGAACATTCTTTGCTGTGTCCAAGCAGCTAGACATTTAAGACTGGTTGAAGGGAACCAAGGCACAAGACCCAGATGTAGTGGGCAGACAGGCAGACAGAAGGCTGGACTTGATACTCCATCTCTTTCCCCTTGTTTCCTTAGAGTTTATCCAGAGATTCCTGCCTCGGGAGCTCCAGATTGTCCGTACCCTGGACCACAAGAACATCATCCAGGTGTATGAGATGCTGGAGTCTGCCGACGGGAAAATCTACCTGGTGATGGAGCTGGCTGAAGGAGGGGATGTCTTTGACTGTGTGCTGAATGGGGGGCCACTGCCCGAGAGCCGGGCCAAGGCTCTCTTCCGTCAGATGGTCGAGGCCATCCGCTACTGCCATGGCTGTGGTGTGGCCCACCGGGACCTCAAATGTGAGAACGCCTTGTTGCAGGGCTTCAACCTGAAGCTGACAGACTTTGGCTTCGCCAAGGTGCTGCCCAAATCACGCAGGGAGCTGAGCCAGACCTTCTGCGGCAGCACAGCCTATGCCGCCCCCGAGGTGCTGCAGGGCATTCCCCATGATAGCAAGAAGGGTGACGTCTGGAGCATGGGCGTGGTCCTGTACGTTATGCTCTGTGCCAGCCTACCTTTTGATGACACAGACATCCCCAAGATGCTGTGGCAGCAGCAGAAGGGGGTGTCCTTCCCCACTCATCTGGGCATCTCAGCCGAATGCCAGGACTTGCTCAAGCGGCTCCTGGAACCAGACATGATTCTCCGGCCTTCAATTGAAGAAGTTAGTTGGCATCCATGGCTAGCAAGCACTTGATAAAAGCAATGGCAAGTCCTCCCCAATAAAGCAGGGGGAGAAAGCAAACCCAAAAACCCGCTTCTAAAATGGTGATATATATTTTACACTTTAAGTTTAGTTATCCTAAAACTTACCTACACCCTCCCCAGCCCTACTTCTCTTTCCCTTTAAAGATCTTCATGGAACCAGAAGGCCTCATTCAGACTTCCCTTTTATTACAGCTGACAAGTGATTTTTCATACAGGTGTTTAACTAAAGTTAATTAAAAATAGACCCTAGAATCATACACATACAGGAGGAGGAGAGGAGAAAAATGACCAAGAGCAATTAGAACTACCACTGTTGCAACTTCCTTTCCAAATAAAAGCAGAAGCGTTGGGAATGCAAAAATGGCCCTTGACTCCTTGTCTTGGTGAGAGGCCTGTTGGGGGCCCTGTCCCTTCCTCATCCCAAAGGCCAAACAGTCTGGGATGAGGACAAGGGACTTCCTCAGGACTCCTCCCCAACTCCACCCCTCCCCCAGGCTATAGCAGGAAGCCACCCTGCACATTGGCTCTGGGGCAGCTGCTGTGGGGACAAGAACAGACCCCCAGGCATCTTCTAGCTTCTGGTTGAATCTCTTTAATGCTGTTAACGGCAAGTCTGGAAAAGGTTCAGGACAAAGTTCTTTTTTCTTTCTTTTTTAATTACAAAACTAACAGCTGTTAGAATCTTTTTTTTTTCCTTTTTTCTTTTCCCAGCTACAAAATACTCTGGGGAGATGCATTATAATTTAAAATATATAATATTGCACAAACAACCAAAAGGTTAATTAAACTAAAATAATTACAAAGAGAAAAAACCCCACCCCGTCAAAAAAAGATTCAGCATTCTCTCCATCCCACCCCCATTGAAGGTTTGAAGTGGAAGTGACCACCACTCTCTTGGCGTCCCTGACCACAATCCCTTTAAATCATTGGTGAACACACCAGATTATGTACAAGAATCACCAGAGCAGCATCGTGAAGCACCAGGGTCTCCAGGAATTCCTGCAGCCCCTCAGTCCCCCAAGAGAGGTGCAGCTTTACCAGGGTGGAGGTGAGAGCCGCAAAGACTGGGCCTGCCTTCAGGAAGAAGAGCTTCTGCAGAAGCCTGATGAGTCTCAAGAAGTTCACCCCCAGCATGTCCCTTCAAGAAGCAGAAGGGTTGAGGCGGAGAAGCTGGGCTTACCAGCGTTGTAAGTACTCAGCTCTGATCACTGCTCTGTACCGCTGGTAGCTGGCTTGTGTCCTAAGCTACAGGGGAGTCGAGGTGGGTTGCTGGTTGGACAGGGTATCTTGTCAGGCAACGCACGGAAGGGCCTGAAGTGGCCCCCTCCCTTCCTGGGGAGAGGAAGAAAAGCAAGAGCAGACTCTTGCAGGTGGCACAGCTGGGCTAAGGACTCGGGTGCATCTGACACGAAGAAGCCTTGGGAAAGGCGGTGGGGAAGTACCAGCCTAGACTGGATGAAAGGAGGGAGGTGGGATCTCAGAGTTTGGTCTCTAGATTCTGAACCAAAGGAATCTTTCTACGAATGGAAAATGCCTGGGTAGGGGAGATTCCCAAGAGAGGCAAATTTCCCAGAAATGAATGCCTCTTACCCCCTGAGACAGGAACCAAAATGTATTCACCATCCCTGTCTAGCCAAGGGCAGGTGGCATGGCCTTCCTTGTCTGCTTATGGATGACAGAGTATATTGTCTTGGCGTCCTCCAAGAGATTGGTGGTTTAGCCTCTGTCTACACAGGTAGATGGGCTAGGGCTCTCCCTTGGGAGTTCCCAGCAAGAGTCCCCAGGAACAGTGGGTGTTCAGCAGAGAAATGTAGGCTCTTCTGGTGAGAGGGTAAGGTTTCTTCCCCCTCGGGTCATCCTATGGTTGGCACAAGTCAGAGTTCCAGGTTTGGATTTAACGAGCCCCTTCCCAGAGTAGAGGCCTAAAGGGCCAACAAGGAACAACCCAGAATCTGCCTAGAGCTCTGGTTGACAGAGGCCATTTGGGGGACATTCTTAGTGTCTTCCAGGGCTGGGCTGAGACGAGCGAGGGAGTTGGGAGGTGCTGTGGGTGGGGGAGCTGCTTGCTCTGGCTCCCCTCATTCCCAGTCCTCCCACTCTACATCTTCCAGCTGCAAAGGGAAGAGGTAATGGAGAGCACAAACACATATTTACTCCTCTGAGTCAAGCCCAGACCCAAGCTCCCCAGCTGCCTCCATTTCAGGATAGCTCTCCCCCCCACCCCCACTGACCCAGGTCATACCCTGCCTCCTATGAGAGCCTTAAGGAGTATCTGGGGAGCAGAGCTGTCTTCTGCCTAAGGGGTGGATCTGCTGCTCTGACTGTTCCAGACCCAGAGGAAATACTACTACCAACCAACACTGGACACTACAAGGGGACGCCCTGCCTGTGAGAACCAAATAGTCAATCCCTTAAGGAGAACTTGTCTCTGGCTGAGCAGATAAGATCATGGCTCTGACAGGCAGGGAACCTGAGAGTGGCACTGTACACCTCACTGTACCAAGTGAGGTACCAGGCTGCAAGTGCTCACAGGTTCTTCACTAGGGGCTCCAGGACCCTAAACCCCCAGCTGAAGTCTCCCCAGGCAACTCTCTCCTGGCCTGCTGTCAGTGGATCCCTGGTATGACAAGTTGTGGAATGACTGTCCAGGTATACTGTATGCCAGGTTTTAAAGAGGGCTGCAAAGACACAAAAGCCATGAAGGCGCTGTGGCATGTGAGGGCACCATGGGCCTTCTCTACCCTGGGTATAGTAAGGTCACAGGTGCAAAATACTCTAGTGCAGGTCACTACCTCCCTGCAGGCTTTAGTCTCCCAACATGAAAAACAAGGTCCTTCCCGTGTCTCTAATCTGTTCACTTCTTTCCAGTGGGTTCTTGAACTACATGATGGAAGAAATCATGTGGTACTTGTGTGACGGTGGATGTAATACTGACTTGAATCAGATGTGTTGGCTGAAGCCTCAGCCCTGTCCTTTACTAGCTGTGAGAGCTTCTTCTCCCAGGTTCTCATTCAAAATGACCCTTCTTGATTCTGACAGGTGGTGAAGAATAAGCCTCTGAGCTTATAACTGGACTGGGTTTTGTGGTGCTTTCAGTAATATCTATTAGTGCTCCCATGTCCAAGCACTATGCCTCACGTGTGTACATGCATCATCTATCACAACATGTAAGATTAAGGTGATCAAGTCCATGTTTTAGATGGGGAAACAAGCTCAGGTTAAGTGACTTGCCCTAGATCACACCGTCTTTTGTCTCTAAGGCCAGGGGTCTGCTCAAGTCACACATCTGGAGACCATGAGTTAAAAGATCTGGGGCAGGGTTTGGCATCTGTATTTTTTAGCAGTTCCTCAGGTGATTTTGATACGAGCTAATGTCAAGAACTCTCCCATCCATGCACCCTGGAACTGAGGGGAAGCAGAGGCTGCTGATGACAAAAATTCAGGCAGGGCCTGCGTGGGAGGCCGGAGCTCCCTTCCTGCAGCCTGACACCTCAGACAGGACTGGGATCCACTCTGAGGGGACTGTTGGGCTTGGGAAGGGGAGTCCTCAGACCTGGGATCACTGGGCTTGTCTCCCCGTGGCCAACAGGCCCACTCACCTCACCGGAGGCATCCACTTTGGAAAGCGCCATCTGCACTTCTTCTTCAGTCATGTCCAAGTCAAAGTCCTTCTCCCAGTCCTCACTGATGTCTGTGCTTGATCCTGGAACCATGATCCACAGTGTGAAAGACAGGAAGGGGCATGTGAAGAGGTGGGAGTTGGGGGTGACAGCACTTCATAAAAGGGCCTGACAAATACACATCAAAGGTTTTTACATTCTGCTTTCTCCAGCTCAGTGATCCCACTTTTAGGAATCTATTCTAAGGAAAAATCCTGGATTCAGTAAAAAATTTAACCAAAAAGATGTTTACTGTAGTATTGTTATAGTGATAAAAACTTAAAAAAACCACCTGAAAGTCCACTGATAGGGAATTACAAAAATAAATGGTGTCATCATATGATAGAACATTATGTTTTTATATTAAATTAAAACATTATGCTTTTAAAGGTTAGGCCATAGAACATTTATATACATGATGAAATAGTCTTAAGTTATTAAGTGAGAAAAAGCAAGTTACTGAACAGTGGAGAAGCATCTTGGTCCAGAGGCTCCCTGGGGCTATGGAAATCTTTCGGAAGAAATAAACAATGAACTTCTTTCTCCTCACTCCATCCTTACCCTGATCCTGCTACTCCTGAAACACACCAGGTGCAATCCCACCTAGGGTCTTTGCTAGGGCTGTTCCCTGTACCTGGGACTCTTCCTCAGATATTCACAGGCCAACTTGCTCACTTCCTTCATGTCTTTGCTCAAATCTCACCACCCCAAATGTGGCCTACTCTCACTGTCCTATTTTCCATTGCAGCCCCAATCCCCTCACTCTGCTTTGGTTGTTCTTTTCCATTCTATTTGTCACTTTCTAGTGTATTACACAACCAGATTTACTATGCTTATTGTCTAATAATAGAGGAGCTAGAATGTGGGCTCCCCAAGGACAGGGAGCTTCTGTTATGTATTACAATTGACTAGAACAAATAGTTTATACTCAATAAATATTCAAGGACCCTTCCTCTAAATCAGGGGCTGGCAAATTATGATCTGTGGACCAAATCCAGCCTACAGCCTGTTTTTGGAAAAAAAATTTTGGAACACAGCCATGGCCATTCGTTTACACATCATCTATGTATGACTGTTTTCAAGCTTTAATGACAGAGTTGAGAAGTTGGACAGAGACTGTATGCCCCCAAAAGCCTGCAGTATTTGTGACCTGGCTCTGTATGGAAAATATTTACTCCTCCCTGATCTAGGTGATTCTGATGCCTACTAAGACTTGAAAACCATTGCTCCAAACATTCATATTCAGGAATGACTTCTTATAGGCAATATAAAAAAATGTATATGGGAAATAATATTACTAAGAAGAAAACTACAAAAATAGTTCCTGTAAAAAATGTATATGCAGTATGATTCCATTTAAAAAAATACACACACAGATGCATGCAC